TTCTCAAACTCATTAATAATTCATTAAGAAAATACAAAGGAAATTAATGTTTAATGAGTGTTTGGAAATCGGATGAAACACTGCTTAGTATTTGCATCCTTAATTTCTCCTTCAAAAATGATTTTGTTTGAGAAGAAATATCAAACATTCGACACAGTGTTTCATCACCAGATGAAACACCTCGAAGTTCGTCAAAAATACTCCGCTGCGCGTCGTATTTTCAACTCTCTTCTCGGTGTTTCATCTGGTGATGAAACACTGCATCTCATGTTTGATATATTACTTGACATCCTTATTGTCTGGTTTTTATCTTGCCAAACAAGTGTTTGAAAATGAATTACCTGTAGTTGTTACCCATGGCTAATTACCATTTAGACGCGAAACTTAACTACGGCTTAAATTCTTGAGCGGGCGCTGAACGCTAGGACCACCACGGAATATCGCACAATTTACTCTAAACCGGGATAATGTTTGAGGGAGAAAGAGAAGCCATGTTGGCTTTGAGTTACAGCTTACGTTATCTCTTAATTTCCATAAAGGCTAATTTAAAAAAAGACTTCCAAACGGATGGAAAATTATAATTTTTTTTTGATAATATAAGCGTTTCACTCGTTAATACGAAGCCCTCAGATCGCAGATTCATCTAAAAACTATTCTTATAGAACTTCCCTTGAGTAATAATGGTTCGGAGCGCGCCACAGTCTTGTACAACCTTCAAAAGGGATGAAATATGCTTGGCAGCCTGGCAATCATATACACTGACGTCATCATTTGTTTTGTTTCTGATTCAGGTGCTTTTCAGGGCGGCTTTGCCCTACTGTCTCTGCCCAGCCAAGAATTCGTAATCGAGAGACACCAAGGGCCACCCATACATAATGACGGTTCTTCTTTGGTAGACCTTTCATTGAACAGTTACACTGTTCTTATAATAGAGATGCAGGACGAATCAGGCCCATAGCCAGATTTATCGGTTTTCCTTTTGGAGTCCTCTCTGAACCAATTTTCGTTATTGGACTCACAGTGTAAAACTTCTAATTTTCCAAAACATTGTTGTACTCTCATTTGTACGACCTGTCTTAGCTAAAGCTGGAGCAAAGGACTGTGAACAGCTATCTTTTTTCTAGGCTATGGCCCTGGTTCCCCTGTGTCTGTGGCTATCTATTGTCTGTGGTGTAGTTGTTCTCTTTAAGTACGGAAACAAAAGCATATTGTATTTTAATACCAGTCTCCTGGGAATGGGATGGGNAGGTGCTTTTCAGGGCGGCTTTGCCCTACTGTCTCTGCCCAGCCAAGAATTCGTAATCGAGAGACACCAAGGGCCACCCATACATAATGACGGTTCTTCTTTGGTAGACCTTTCATTGAACAGTTACACTGTTCTTATAATAGAGATGCAGGACGAATCAGGCCCATAGCCAGATTTATCGGTTTTCCTTTTGGAGTCCTCTCTGAACCAATTTTCGTTATTGGACTCACAGTGTAAAACTTCTAATTTTCCAAAACATTGTTGTACTCTCATTTGTACGACCTGTCTTAGCTAAAGCTGGAGCAAAGGACTGTGAACAGCTATCTTTTTTCTAGGCTATGGCCCTGGTTCCCCTGTGTCTGTGGCTATCTATTGTCTGTGGTGTAGTTGTTCTCTTTAAGTACGGAAACAAAAGCATATTGTATTTTAATACCAGTCTCCTGGGAATGGGATGGGCCTGGCAGTACTTTCGCTCACGAGGCCTCTCCTGCTCCCAGGACCCTTAAGCTTATATATGAATGTTAAATAATAAGTAAATCTTTCTTCTCCTTGGATTGTAAATATTTATAAATATCAAAGAACGTTTTAAGAACACTCATTCACATACATTTATTTTACTAAACCGATACTAGGATAAATTGAACATCGGCTATAAAATACAAGGAGTGTCCATTGACAAAATAAACGGTGAAGAAAGCGAGGGGTTATTATCAATAACATATATCGGATAAGACACCTACGTTCCTTCTTCTAATGCTTGTGAATGAGTGATCACTAAAACAAATTGCAGAAAGTCGCAATTGTATTGCTTTCAGTTATATGAGTCAACCAAAAAAAACATCGATCATTTGCGTTGTACAGTATAATATAGAATATTTAACGAAGCATTCTGCGAAAAAAAAAAACTTGAAACAAATGATGACAATTAGTCTAGATTCTTTTGTAGGACATATTCAAATTTCGGAAAACCAGCGCTTGCGTTCTTTCAGTAATAAATATGGGACAGAGGTGGAAATACAAATTTTCTTATATCAGGCATGAAAAAGTTTGACCAATATTAACTCTTTCAATGACTCGTAACGCTGATAACCGATTGAGACTTAATAGTTAATTCATTTAATTTTGAAAAGTTTAAAATCGAGGCGTTGAAATTAACATATTAATATTAGTTATTTTAAAACTTATCAAGACTTTGAAGTCAATTAAGTAACCTATTAAGACTTGAAGATAACTTAATAAACATTGTAAATGGTAATCTATTAAGACTTTGAAGTCAACTTATTGAACATTGTAAATGGTAATCTATTAAGAATTTGAAGTTAACTGTGTTATTTGTGTGAGAATCAGAAAAACTACTCCAGAAATTCCATAGGCAAAGTTCCTAAAGAAACAATTTAGTTACAACAGATTTTCTTTTTTCATTTTATTTGAATAAGGAAATCGAATTTGATTTTACTCTTAACTTTCGACAACATTTTTCCCCGGTGAATACGTGCTACTCGTGCCGAGTAACTTATCACGCAAACAAACAATCAGAAAATCAGAATCAGAAAAACTACTCCAGAAATTCCATAGGCAAAGTTCCTAAAGAAACAATTTACTTACAACCGATTTTCTTTTTTCATTTTATTTGAATAAGGAAATTGAATTTGATTTTACTCTTAACTTTCGACAACATTTTTCCCCGGTGAATACGTGCTACTCGTGCCGAGTATCTTATCACGCAAACAAACAACTTAAATGGTTATAAAAACAAAGGCGGAAAATGTTCAGTTTGCGTAAGCTCTACTAAAGCCTAAAGTTTCTTCTAGCAGGTTTCGATATATTTAGCTATATCTATCCTCTCAAAAGGAAATTTAGGATTATCAACTGAACACATTGCTAGATTCAAAACATACCGAAATGATCAAAGTGAGCTCGAGGTGGTCTTTCTAAGTCAGAATGAATTGATATTGGTTGACTGAGAGAAAAGAACTTTTCAGGAACTGAATGGGCAAAACTTGTAGTAGAACTTCACTTGACTCCAGTGATAATTAAGAAATGGTATGCCCAGTTAAATTGGAAACTTACAAATCCTGTATAAATCATCAACAATTATTCCTCGAGCCCGAATGGGCTCTGAGTCAATAGCCCATGAGGTCGAAGGCGGAATGGGCTATTGACTCAGAGGCCAGGAGGGCGAGAAGAATAATTGTTTTAGTAATATCCAACTAGTTGGTCAAAAATATCGAGAATAAAAAACTCATAGTTAGTTAAAGCTAGACTTTAATCCTTTTTTGACGCCAAAAAGCCCGCGCTTTTCGCTACTAGTGGGCCATAACATATAGCCTAGAAATAGCTCAACCAATCAGAACGCAGCATTGATAATTAACCACTAGCTGGATT